TACAGCGTCCTCAGTACCTACTACAGCGTCCTCAGTACCTACTACAGTGTCCTCAGATACATAGATTTATCGCATATGACTAGAAGTACAAGTATATGGGGATGGGAAGGGAAGGTTGTAACCAAATTTAGAGAAGAGTGGAGTCAATCATACGACACTGGCTCCAGTGGGCAATGATAGCTATAAAGAACACTACAATGCAAACTGGGTTTCCTACTTGTTCAAATGTTTAAGTTGTATCCAACATGCACAGAATAGTTAATAAAAAGGTAATAAAAATTAAAAAAAGGTGTGTGAAGCACATGTAGACACTGCCTAGTCAGCTCATAAGTTTCTCATGTCAGTTTGACCTTCACAGATAGTCTTGGTTTTGAATGATTACAAGAAGTTCAGCTTTCTGATTTCCAAATTCGTGGAAGACTGGTAGTGGTTCATTAGGAGAAGGGACAGGTGGTGTGGGACAATTCTGTATTCTGTCAATTATGCTTTAAATAAATGCTGATTGGCCAGTAGCCAGGCAGGAAGTATAGGTGGGACAACCAGACAGGAAGTAGAGGCTGGTCAATGAGAACAGGAGAATTCTGGGAAGGAAGAAGCTCATTCCTCCCCAGTCCTGTTCAGACACCAAAGAAGGAACATGTGACCTGCCCCGCCGAAAAAGGTACTGAGCCATGTGGCTAACATATACTAGAATAATGGGCTAATATAAGTTATAAGTGTTAATAAGAAGCCTGAGCTAATGGGCCAATCAGTTTATAACTTATGTAGACCTCTGTGTGATTTTCTTTGGGACTTAACAAATGTGGGAACCGGGCAGGACAGAACCACAGACAACAGAAAGGGACTGACAATTCTTCATTAGAGGCCAGCAAGAATGGGGTCTAACGTGTGAGGGGCAGACAAAGTTTCCAGGTGGATGGGGTACAGTTATGGGGTCATTCCAAGGAGAAGAGTTTGGATGTCTTGATGGGTTCCGAGGATACAACCTCCAAACTGCTAAGCCACAGAGTCAACTTAGAACAGGAATGTAAGCGCTCCTGCAGCCAGCACATGCTACCTGGGGTAAGCCTCATCCACGGCTCTTCTCTTACATGTCCTGACAGCCTAGACCATTCTGCAGCGTGCCCAAATGTGCAGTTTCAACAGCACGCACCCATAGATTAACATCATGGATGGCAGCCACTTTCATTGCTATCACTTTCTCTGGCTGCTCTGAGATGCAGGCCTGGAAAACCGCAACAGGAACTGCAGGCCCACGAAGCCCACGTGCATCTGGTGCTTTACAGGGCGGTTAGCTGACTCCATGCTACATACTTCTCAGCACAGAAGTACTGCCATCCAAAATGATTCAAACTCTCCAGAAAGACTCCCTGTCTGAGGCTCCCAGATGTTTGCTAACCAAGCAGAGCGGGTCTTTATTGGGGGATGAAGAGAAGGGCATGTTCTCCTTCGATTTTACAAATCTTCAAGTGATAGCAATAGTTCACTTTCCTGTTTCTAGTGTCAATTATATTTTCCCCCCGCTGAAGCACTATGTCTTAGGAGAGTGTTCTTGTTACCGTCTTTCCATTTCCACCAGGACCCAGGGATCCTGAGCTAATGACAACTCAGTTCTATCTCAGTTGCCAATATTTCTTGGCTAACCTATCTCTTTTTGATAGAATGGCATACTTTCTTTTTAGGTCTTACCTTCAAAATGCCGAGAGTAGGTGAGAATTTGAGCAACTCCTCTATGACGTCATTATACCCTTTGTTGGCCGCTTTCAGCAATGCTGTAGTGCCGTCCTGCAGGGAGTGGGGAGCATGGGAGCTAATTATCAACACACATTTGTGTTGACCGAGAAGTAAGTGCCAGCTGACAAATCAGCAATGTCTAATCTAGGGCAGGCTGGGGGCACACTGGGCAGTAACACAGTGGGTGACCGTGATGCCGTAGGAGCAGACGCTGCTGCAGTCCCTGAGAACACCAGGGACAGGGGTATTTCAGGACCATAGCCTGTGGCTACCATGGACCCAAGAGACCTTCTCTGTTGTTCATGACAGCGGAGACTGCTTGACTGCCTTTAAGGGTCTATGTTACTGAAATGCACTTACCGCCTTAAAAATACACGCAGTCCTGATGTCACCTGCCCTGTGCAGTTGTTTGCTTATGTATGGTGGTGGTAGTTAAGAGGAATAGGTCAAAATTTGATTAATCTTTTAAAAATTGCATAGACAAATTTAAAAATCCATCTTTAGTGATCATTTTTGGCTCAAAGAGAGACCTTTCCAAGTAATTAGTTTCCTGCTTGTATAAATGGCTGGGTCTGGAGGACTATCTCTGCGCTGTCTTCTGTCTGCCCATGGAGCTCATCTGGAATGGGCAGGAGAAGGAAGGTGTGATTAGGGGATTTTTTTCTTCTAATTTCAGAGACGACAGGAAGACAGCAGAAGAGGGGGAGATCAGGAACAATGCCTTCAGAGTTCCCTTTTCTGAGTTTAGACTGCTAAGCCACCAGGAGCAGCGCAAGGGAAGGGACAAGGGACATCTGACACAAGCTGCCTCGTGCTCACAATGCTCACAGCCTAGCCGGCAGAATCTCCCCAAGTCGCTCTCCTTCTATGGCCCTGCAGCCTGTCACAGGCAGGCAGCATTCAGCACCAACCTCAGAAACCGACTGTGGAGAGCAGGTGCTTGAGGGATGTAGCACAGGGGTTTGCAGTGGGGAGCAGGCATGAGGTGCAGCATTCAACAGTGGGCTCTGCCTGAACCCACGCCATAGATCCTGCATGTTCCCAACATGCCAGAGGTCAAGTGAACCATACCCCTCCCCAGCTCCTCTAGAAGCCTTCTCAGATGGAGAGGCAGGAAGACAACAACACCTGGGAAGTTTCCACTTAGTTGGACTTTGACTGTTTTCCTGCTAAAGAGCAGGTAGGGCTTGGAAGCCCAGTTGAATGGTAAACTACACGCCCAGAGGCCACATCCTCTGAGTCCACAGTTGGGGCTGGGACATGCTGTCTACTCACGTTGCGTGCAGCATCACGGTCAGCTCCCCTCAGCAGCATCACGCGCACCACCTCGCTGTGGCCCATCTGGGATGCAATCCACAGTGGTGCGGTTCCATCCTGTGGGGGAAAGGAGGTACAGAGTGTGACTGGGGTTCTACTCATCCATCCCAGAACCTCAGGAACACCAGATCTCCGAGTCCAAAAACCCTGGAGAAGATACCCTCTCCAGCCAATCTGCACACCCAAGGGGAATGTGGAGAAGAGGAGGCCCAATGAGCGCAGAATCACAGAACAGTGTTCGGCAGGCATGACCTTAGCAACTGTTCATGTCCACACATCTGTCTTATACAAATAGCCTTTCTTTTTCTCTTTAGAGACAGGGTCCTGTGTATTTTAGGTTGGGTGAGAACTCACTGTATAGCCGAGGGGGACCAGGATCCTGACAGCTGGGATCACACATGAGCCACCATACCATTTCATTAGTACTGTGCTGAACCCATGACTTCGTGCAAGCTAAATAAACACTCTGCCAACCGAGACACATCTCCATAGATCTGGTTCTTTGATGCAAGGGTGTAAAACAGGCTGGGAAGGTTCTGTGGGACGCTTATTCACAGGACAGCTGAGATGCACCCCACACTGCAGAACTGAGCTCCCCTAGCAACGAGGCAGCTTGTCTTTTGTCTCACTCCCAGCCCCAGATGACCTACGTCTCTGCTTCCTGTGTTCGGATGAGGCAGTGCATCCTGCCAGCACATGTCCATCATGGAAGAGTTGGCAGTTTCTTTTGAAGTAGGGTCATTTCTCTTACTTCTGTATTTGGTACCCCCAGTTGCCCATGGCTATGTCATGCTTTAAATAAGCATAGACTTATGTAGAAGGTGATGCTTTTCCTAGGAATGGACACAAACTAGTGTAACAGGATATTTAGGGTAACATTTTCTGTATATTATTTGCTAACTCCCTTTTCCCCAAGACTGAGAAGGAGGTAAAATAATAGAAAGAAAGGAAGGAGAAGCATTTGACCCCAAGGCTGTCAGTTGGCGGACAGGAAGTCTGTAGCACAGGAAGAAGCAGAAGAGGGAAGGGACTCATGTTTCCTCTCTGCCTGGCTTGACTCTGGCTGTGTGGAGGGCACAGGGGTAGGTAGCTAGGTGGCACAAACACCTAGGGAAAACTGGGAAACTCAGATGGAAAGGGAGTTTTCTCCTTTTCATAGAACAGAACTCAAGAAAATGGGAAATGCCTTAAAGAAATTCCGCTCTAGGCTAATACCTGAAAGTGAAAGGATGATAGGAGCTGTCTGGGCCACAGGGTGCCCGAGAGATTCCAACGGCTGTATATATACACATACATACACACGCATAGTCACCCAGCATCTGGCTATTCAGGAATTTACCGTGCTGTGGGAAATTGGAAGTGCTGAGGGAAGAGTGGCTTGAAGTAAGTTTGAGGTTGAGAAGACAAAGACACAGAAATGACTTGATTGAGCAGAGTCAATGGCAGAGCCAACACCGAGGATGAAACCATAGTGAAGCTCTAGGAACCAGTGCAGACGCTTGAGGACCAGAGAGTCCAGCAGATTCAGGAAGGAGTCTCTCCAACCCCTCCCCCGATACCTGACTAGTAGCCCGATTCTCTGAGAAGAAGAGCAAGAGGAGGGCGCAGGACCAAGAACTGGAAAAATGTAACTGCTGAGGTCATCATGGTAGTATGTCCCAAGAGCATGGAAAACCTACCTCTCCATCAGAAGGAGGGCTACTGAGCAAGATGATGCAAGGGTAGGCTATGCAGCTACACCTGCTGCTGTGTGGAGATACTACATAGCAGCATACAGCTACTGCAGGCAGGCACACATCCTGGCAAAGGGTGAGCGGAAAATGACAAATTGGAAGGCGGTGGCGGCAGGGTTGTGGGGACAGCATCGGTGCCTGTGCCTTGGGAGAGCGAGAAGAGAGGAAGGAGCTGGAGAACAGAGGAGGTCTGAAGACAGCCAGCCTGCTCCACACGTCCTTTACACCTCTCTCCATCTCTTGGAACTATTCTTATTAACAAATTATAATTTGCACTAAAGGCACAAATTAAGAGTACAAACTAAAGAATTGCTTATTGCTTATAATAAAACAACTTCAATGATTTTCATTTGATTCTCCCAATTGAGGATTTAACTAAGTATTCACCCAACCAATAATTAACTATGAAACCCCTTCTGTGTCTCAGGCGGAATACTGAAATAAGTCTCTCTTTTCAAAGGAAAGTCTAGAGAAGGCAATAATGTCGAAATGTCTATACAATTGCAAATGATAACAAGTGAGCCAAATGTGCCCAGTGAACTAGGAGAGGCCCCCTACTGCTGTGGGCTTGGGGTCAGGCTTCAGAGATAGGGTCATAGTTGAGTTGGGTCTTGAAGAAAGACCAGGGGCCAGGGTTTTGTCAGGTAGTAGGACAAGCATACATTCACAGTGTCTTGGACAGGCATGGTGTGGCAGGCAGAGCAAACAATCAATCCTATTACTTTGGCACATGGGTATAGGTGGGGTCCTGGGGACAGCAGAAGAGCTCTGGGCATGTCCTAGCAATGAGCAATCAATATGCTTGTGGTTTGCCTGTTGTGTCTATTTTGTTCTTTGTGGATGTCTCCACCAGAGGGCAGTCAGGGAAGGGAGATGGGCTGCCTGCTTCGTGTATGGGCTTGTCAGGGCTCGGCTGTTTTAGCAAAATTACCCGTGGAAAGATGCTGAGACATCCTCAGTGAGGATAATTATCACTACTCTCAACTCATAACAGTCACAGCAACACTCAGATCTATGACATTAACTGGAAAACAAACAGAAAACAAAAAACAAAACAAAACAAAACAAAAAACTCAGCCTGCACTTCCTGCCAGTGAGGCCTTGGGCAATGCTCTCAGGCTCAGCATCTTCTGCAAACATGTCAACCTTGCAGACCTGCTGCTGAGCCAGCATGCAGAAAGGCGGAGAGCGTGAAGATGGACAGGTGCTCAGAAAATGCTTCCTGGGGCCAGGTGCCGTTCACATGAACAGCAGAAAGTGGGCCAGGTGCCTTTTACCAAGAACAACGAACGGAAAACCTTGACTTGACTCCTGGTTCTGCAAGCTCATCCACTTGATTTCTTCCCCAAGTCCCCAGGTGGCCCTGTACAACGGCTGGATGGGGAGCAGCTGGGTCCCACTGACTGGTACAGGGCACATGGGTCACCAGTGTATCTCATTGCTGATGATCACATCTCCAGACTGACACTGGAACCCAGCCTAGCTAACTGTCTACTGAAGTGAGAGATCCCTCTTTACACCACCATTTCTGCGCAGTAGTCCGTGCTTTTCTCTTCCTTATTTTTATTTTATTTTTTTAGAGACTGGGTCTCTCTATTATGTAGCCCAGGCTGCCCTTTAAACTAAGATTCACTTGCTTCCTCTGCCTCTTGAGTCGGGGATTAAAGGCATGCACCACCACACCATCATAAAAAAGATGGAATACAAATCTATTGTTTCTCTTTTCTGGGATTTTGAAGTGAATTGGAATGGGCAAAAAAAGATATTTAAAACTTTTGAATACTTTTAGCTACTTCTGAACAAAAAATAGTTTTAAAATATATTAAGCAGATAAAATTATTACTGTGTTGTGAAAGTTATGCACTCCGCAGCGCTCTCTCTCTCTCTTTCTCTCTCTCTCCTCTTTCTCTCCCGTGTGTGTTTGTGTGTGTGTGTGTGTGTGTGTGTGTGTGTGTGTGCTCATAGCATGAGGTGGGAGTGCACATGCATGTGTGTGCATGTGCATAGAGGCCAGAGGTTGGCATTAGGTGTTTTCCTTCATCACTCTCCACCTTGTTTTTTGAGCCGCATCTGTCACTGAACTCATTACTTTGCATAGGCTGGCCGGCCAACGGGCTCCAGGAATCGGCCTCTGTCCTCTCTGCATAGGGTCATAGAAGAGCACAACTGCCCGACTAGTAGATGAAGGTCACATGAGGACCAGAAGCCAAGGAAAGAACAGGAAACATGAGGGCTGAAGAAGACTAACAACCCAATAAATAGCAGTATGTTGCCTGTATCTGAAAGTGTTCAACATTGGATGATAATTGCAGAAAGAACTTAAGGACCAAATGAGTGGTTAATACGGTGACTTTGGCATTCCCTATCAAATCTGTTGCTATTCCAGGCTATAGCAAATATATTCTACAGATAGAGGATATATAATACCACTCATGTTAGAAACTTATCTTCTATAATTTTATCTAGGCGTCTGAAATCTATTTAGAAAAAAACAACCAGCCTTTTAATTCCATAGGAACACGTGTATGAAATGCTATATGCGCTCTGCTTCCATGGCCTTCTAGTCCTCGGGCATGGACTGCTTTCATCTGGAGGTTTCAGGTCGGATATTCTCTGGGATCAAGTCTACTGTTAGTTGGGGATTCTCATGATGCAGGGAACTTTACCAGCAGTGATAAGGGCCAGTAACAAGACAACTTTGCTACCAGAGTTAGTTCAACCCAGAACTGCTGCAGTAAGAATTTTAGTGGGAATGTTTTATACCATTTCCATAGCAATTCCAGAGCAGAGTTATTGTTACTGTCTTGGGTTTATGGATGAAACAACAAAGGTCCAGGGAAGGTAAACCACTTGCTCCAGGTCATGGAGAACTGAACTGTCTTTCATTTCCTAAACATGAATATCCTTATGAGCGCCAGCTTCTCTCTACCCGAAGGCCTAAGCGGGCACCCCAGCTGTTATCTATTTTCCTAGAGCTTGTGTGTTGCCCACGAGCATGGGTTCTACATCTAGAGTCCTCTAGTTTCCAATCATGGGTCCTTCTCTGCCACCAGACCTCCCTGGTGTTCGGTCCAAGTCACGATGTCTTTTGGTGGTCAATAGGTCCAAATGCCTATACCACGTGCAGAGGGACTAAGACAGCCAGTGCCCTCTACAAATGTTGCTATGGTAGTCTACTTCAGTGTCCACGTGCTTGGAAACCTACAGCAAATCTGGAAGCTCTTGTTTTTCCCACTTCCCATGTGTCTCCAAACTTGTGACCCAAGAGAATATTCACTTTCTGGGTTCTTGCAATTCTCTGTCCAGCTGAAGGTTTCTGTTAGGGTAGTGGTTCTCAGCCTTCCTAATGCTGAGATGTTTTAATACTGTTCCTCATGTTGTGGTGACCCCCCAACCCATGAAATTATTTCCATTGCTACTTCATAACTGTAATTTCCCTACTGTTATAAATTGTAATGAAGACATCTGTGTTTTCTGATGGTCTTAGGTGATCATTCAACTTCAAAGGGGTCACGACCCACAGGTTGAGAACCACTGTTTTAGGGACTGAGCTCATTAGATCGTCTTTCTGTCAACTCCACAGAAGCACTGACAAGCTAAGGAGGACTAGCTGGAGATGATGAAGACAGGCCAGCCAGACGCTGGGCAAGCAAGACTAGGCTTGGCCACTCTAGAAAATGTTGCTCGAACAATGTGGGTGAGTTGAGCTGGGGAAAAGTGTATGTCAAGGCATGTGATTGAGAGAAGAGTGGATGGATTCAGTGACATCTTTGTTAGTGACCAAAATGCTTTGGCTCCTGTCAGGTTCTCCTTTTGAAGGACACATGGAAGAAACAAAAGCGAATTTTTCGAGTGACAATGGGACTCACAGGGATCTGTGACTCCACAGCATGGAAGGAGCCCAAGCTGCACACCACCCAGCATCTGTGTGGCTTGTCCTGTGATCATGCTTCCTCAACACAAGCCACAGGGATAGCGTTACCAGTTCAGATTCCCTGAAGCTCATCAAATGTAAGCTGCGTGATTTCAGGGCTACTTCATTAGCATCTTGTCATGGATGCTAACAGCAGAACTCTGTAGAATGGGGGTGTGTGCGTGTGTGCATGTATATGTGTGCACACACACACATGTGCATGTGTGTGAGAAGCATGATAACCTGAGTTTGACCTTCAATACCACATAATCTGGGCGTGGTGGTATGTGCTTCTAAGCCCAGGGCTGGGGAGAGAAAAGGAGAGGAATCCCCGAGACTCGTTGAACAGATAGTCTAATCGAAAGTTCTCAGGTTCCTGGGGGAGACTCTGTCCCAAAACCAAAGATGAACAGCTCCTAAGGAGGGACAACTGAGACTGACCTCTGGCTTTTGCACACACGTGATGTACTTGCACACATTCACATGTGTGCACATGTGCGTGCACACACACACACACAGCAAGCTTTTCTAAAAATATTAAGAATTGAAAAATCAGGTACACATCCTTGTCTTCAGTTATAAATTCAAGAGTTCTCTGATGAAGATCTAATGAGTCAGTGGGATTTCAGGATCAAACAACAGTTCCACACGCCCTGCCTGCAATGTTCTACCCTGTGCAAGTCATTTTAGCGAGAACTCTAAACCACGCTTTTCTCAAACCTCTACATAACTGCACCCAAGCAACCATGCACTTTTGTCATGCTGAGGATGTTTGTTTTCTTAGACAGAATGGTGTCAGCAGGGTTCTACTGTCAGAGAAGGCAAAACATGGAGTCATTGGCCTGCATAGCTGAGTCTCTAGCTAGAGAACTGCAGGCTCCTGCAGGCAATGGAACTGATTGTGGTTTGAGAGCAGCATGGAGTGAGTGTGTGCAACATAAAGGGAATGTTCCCTCCTCCCCCACCCCAAGTAGCTCTTATTTTTATAAAACACTTTGCCTGAATAACAATCTTTCCAGACCTGGACTCTTCCAATTCCAAAGCACTTCCTTAGAAACGGTCTTTGGGAGGGTGTGTCCCCTGCTTTTTAACCACAGGGCAGGTCATTGTCCTCACAGTAGGCTGTTCACTGAACAGGTGAGCCTCACTCCAGAGGAATGCAAACAAGGGGGATGTGTTGTGGTTACTGCTGCCATGCAGGCTTGCTTTTTAACCTCCTGGCTTCAGTGACCAGGTGACTCAGCTCAGGTTCAAGTGCACATGCACCCATGCAGCCTTTGAAATCTCGACTCATATCAGCTTGAGTATTGTTTTATAAGCAAGCATGACTGTAGGAATAAGAATAATGAAATGAATTTTACACACAAGCTTCTTAAAGTGACAGAAATTACTTTGCAAAGATATAATGAAAGACATTTGGCAAGCTCAATAATCCCCAGCATTCAAGTTCGTGGGGCACCTGTGGTGACAACGACCTCCAAATCAAATCCACGCCATTCAGAGCCTTCCAGCTCCTTCCATCAATTGCATCAAAATAAGACCAGTTAATAAGATATTAAACTCCAACTTCCAAATGTCAGCTTTGGCAAGACCTGATGTACATTTTTTTTTCTTTTTCTTTGTGTGTATGTGTTCATGTATATGTAGGGGTGTGTGTGTGTGTGTGTGTGTGTGTGTTACATGCACATATGTGTATGTTTATGTGGAGGCCAGAAGTTGCCCCTGGGTGTAGTTCTTTGGGAGTGATTGATCTTGTTTTTTGAGACACTGGCCTGTGGCTCACCTATTAGGCTGGCTAGTCAGTGAGTTCCAGGGGTCTGCCTGTCTCTGCTTCTCTGGCGCTAGGACTAACAAAGGCTTGCCACCATGTTTAGCATTTTTACACGGGTTCTGGGCTCAGATATAGATTGTCATGCTTACTTTACTGACAGTCATCTCTTCATCCTGATGCGCAGCTTTTCTAAACTGTTTCCATCCCAAGAGAATTTCTAGGACTATCTACAACTAAGAAAGTCTTTACAAGCTTAAAACGTGCAATTCATCTTTCTAGTTATACGTGGCGGTGGTAACTGCCCTGGAGACACTGACTGAGTGCTGATAAAACAATCATCAAAGCTCTCTGGAAGCCTGAAGGGCTTGATGGGCGCATCCTGCTCGTCAGAATCACAGAGCTGGGCCCACGAGGTGGCGTGGGGGGTGAGAGCGCTGTGACACAGCCGGCCGGCCTGAGTCCACCCACAGCCTGCCGGCCTGAGTCCACCCACAGTCCGGGGTGGGAAGAAAGGGCAGACTCATAAAAGTTGTCCTTTGATTTCCACATATATTCTGTAACACACACACACACACACACACACACACACACGTACACACACAAATAATACATTTAATTTGATTTAAAATCCACAGAGTTAAGCAGGCATAGTGGTGCATGCCTGCAATCCCAGCACTAAGTAGGGTGAATCATGAGTATGAGACAAGCCTGGGCAACACAGTGAGACCCTATCTTAAAAACAAAATCAACCTCCAGTAACCAAAACAAAGTCATTGGCAGAACTGGTTTAGAAGCCTAGATTGCTGTTGGCAAAGCTACTATACCTAGGCTCTTCTTCTCCATTAAGCACTTAGGTTAATGAAAACCCAAGAAGTCTATGGCCAGGAACACAGACTCATCTAGAGGGTTCCCATTGCTATATGTTATGTAAAGTCCCAGGTATTCCCATGCCAGATCAATTACAGAAACCTGCCTTGGGCATATTATTGATTAGGAAATCAGTTTGACTTTTCTAAACAAACAAAGAAAACCAAACCTTCATAGCAATGTGACCTTAGCCTCAGAGCACAGATGGTCCCTATGACATGGGGAGCTATGCGACCTCACATTTATCATTTATAAATTGGCCCCAGTGTGATCTTGTATTCAAGAGCTTTAAGTATCAGCCAGTTGATTTGCCAGACGTTAGCAGATGACAGACGGTAGGTACTGTTAAATGAAGTCTCAATGGCAGTAGGCTTGTGAGCAATGAAGGAAGGCACAGGACCTATTCAGGATTTCAATGTCAAGGGCAGGAGATACGGCAGCAGCAGCGTACCAGGAGGGAGACCAGGAAGGGACTTGCCTCTGTCTACCTATGCCCCAGGTCAGCCAACACTCCTAAGTTCAGCACAGTCATGGCTTATTTGAACAGGAGGTGACAGAGTGTGTACTTGACCTCAGACATTAAACACTCAAGTTTTCAAAATACTGAGACGTGACGTCAACTTTAGTTCAGAGGCATCTGGCTGCGCTCAAAGCACAGAGCACGAGCCATCTTAATCAAAGATTAACTTCTTATCACAGAGGCAGAAGGAGCTGAAGGATGCCTATGGTGCCTGCTCTATGCCAAACGTATGCTGCTTCAGCCCTTGGCGCTCCCTCCACATGCTCCGTAGACTTTGGCAATGACATTACCTGCCTTGGCTGGTTGACTTTTGCCCCTGAAGACAGCAGCAGGCGAATGACATCCAAATAACCTCCTTGGGCAGCAAGGAAGAGGGCAGTGGCTCCATCCTGAGAGAGAGCAAGTGTTCAGATTCAGGCTTCGTATTTATTTAAAAAGAAAATTAAGGTATGTATACTTAATAAAGCTTCCCATTTGCATTCTCTTTCCTGTTTCTATTCTATTGCCAATTAATAGCTATGAGCTATTATGTAAACAAATGGCGCAGACGTGTGTCTGCGTGCTCGTGAGCACACACACGTGTGCGCATGCACACACACACACACAAACACACACACACACGCACATGCACACGGAGGCCAGAGGACAACCTCTAGCATCATTCCTCAGGAAGGCACTGTCTGCTTTTTTGAGATCTCTCACTCAAAGCCTGGCTCACACTGCCTGGCCAGTGACCCTCAGGGATCTTCCTCTCTCTGCCTCCCACGTGCTGGGATTGCATGCAAAAGTCACCCCACTCAGGTTTTTAAAACAAATTTTTAGATTTATTTTATTATGTGTATTAATGTTTTCTCTCTCTCTCTCTCTCTCTCTGTATGTGTGTGTGTGTGTGTGTGTGTGTGTGTGTGTGTGTGCACGCGCACGTGTGTGCGCATGCCATGCATCCAGGTACCCAGAGGACAAATGTGGGCTTTGGATCCCCTAGAACTGGAGTTACAAATGGTTGTGTGTCACTGTGTGGGTTCTTGGAACTAAGCTTGAGTCCTTTGCAAGAGCAACACATGCTTTTAACTGCTGAACTATCTCTCCAGTAGACCCAGCTCTCTCTCTCTCTCTCTCTTTCTCTCTCTCTTTCTCTCTCTCTCCCTCCCTCTCTCTCTCTCTCTCTCTCTCTCTCTCTCTCTCTCTCTCTCTCTCTCTCATTCTTTCCAACATGAGTTCTGGGGATCAAATCCTTCATGCCAGGAAACAAACACTGCACTACCTGAGTCATTTCCCCAGAATGCACTTTCTGTGACTTTATGAATTGGGAGTTAGTGTCTTTCCCTTGGCATCTCCCTCTTCCTCCTTTATCCATATCCCACAACATGCAGTTTCTCCGAGTATTAAAAGGCATGGTGGGGGGCTGGAGAGATGGCTCAGCGGTTAAGAGCACTGTCTGCTCTTCCAGAGGCCCTGAGTTCAATTCCCAGCAACCACATGGTGGCTCACAACCATCTGCAATGAGATCTGGTGCCCTCTTCTGGCCTGCAGGCATACATGCAGACAGAATATTGAGAATACTGTATACATAATAAATAAATAAAAAAAAGAGAAAAAGAAAAAAAGAAAAAAAAAGGCATGGTGGCTCAGTAGCAGAATGCTAGCCTAGTGCGTACACACACACTCACACACACATGCAAATGATTTCAGGAAACCTGCCTGAGATTCTCCACCTCACTGCTCCCTGTCAGGCCAGCAGAGCCAGCAATGCCTATGAACACAAAGGGCAATTTGCACCACGCCCAAAGCAAGAGCTCCAAGCTCTGTGAACTTTTTTGTTTGGGGAGCACTTCTTTGTTTTCTTTCTCAGACACATGTCTTCCTGATTTCAGCAAATTTATAGGTTGTATTTGTCCATACTCACTGCAGAGTATGTGTGCACAGGGCCAACGTTCCGACTCTACAGTAGAAAACCTGGACACGCCCGTGTGGAGTTAACACCCAGCTAATCACCACACCTTGTGCTGGGAGTGCAAGGCAAGCAGAGACCCCAAAGGCCTTTCTTGGCACAAGCCCAACAGGCGTGCCACCTGGGCAGGGCGGATTTCCACTGGGTGTCTGCGGAGCTACCAGATTACCCCTGAGGCAATCATTAAAAACAAACCAGTCTGTACAGATTTTTAGGAAGGTGTTTGGTAATGGCTACAGATTTTAGCGGCTCCTTAGTTCTTGGCACAGAAAGTTCCCCGTGCCTTAGCGGTGGCTAACTCTGGTCTCTGAGCTGGACTGTCCACACACTGAGTCCCTTACAGGGCATCACAACTTTCATCTCCCACTTGTTTCCAGAGATCTTTGGCATGTACCCCACCCCCATCATTTTTATTTTATGTTTTGGTACAGAGTCTCACTCTGCAGTTTTGCCTGGATTAGAACTCACTATGTGGACCAAGCTGTCCTTGAACTTTCTAGTACTGGGATCAAAGGTGTACACCACCACATCCAGGCCAATTATTTTTAATAGAGATATTTGTACCATTTTACAAAAAGTAAAAATGAATTTACAGCACATGAAATTTCCCAATTCTTCTTACAGCAGAGAGAAATTTTCTATGAATTCAGGTGAAGTCTGTCCTTCCAAGAGCATTTTGGAAGAATGTTGTCTAATGAGTACAAAATTTGTATCCACCCTCAATTTGGACTGCTAACTCTGGGTCATGGTGTGCAAATAAAACTTCTATTTGTGAGGTTTCTAGAAGTCGGTTCTATCCAGCCCCACATGACAGTAGCCCAGATTCTCAGCTATTCTTTATTTACATCGATCCATAGAAAGGTAGCCAAAGCTTTAGACATACAGTTATTTTCCCTTCTTGTGTATGTATGTGGTATAAGTATGTGTTTATGTGTGTGCACATGTGTGGATACATGTGTGCATGCATACTCAAGTGTATAGGTTAAAGGTCAATAGTAGGCATCTTCAACTGCTCTTCACCCTATTTTTGGAGCTAGGGTCTCACTGAAGCCACAACTCATTACCAATTTGATTGGACCTAGAACCTCCCCCTCCTCTTCTCAGTGCTGGGATTGCAAGTGCACACCAAGAGCCTAGCTTTGTATGTGGGGGCTCCAGACCCAAGCTCAGGCTGTCCGGCCTGCACAGCAAAGCACGGAGCCATCTCTCCATCTCTGCCTGTGGTGCTCAGACTTGAGCACGCGTCAGAACCTTGTCAGGCTGCAGTTGTGCCTACAGAGCCTGGCTCTGCTGGTCTGAGGGGAGGTCTGGGAACTGGTGGTTTGGACCGCACAACAGGTGTGTCTAATGGGCAGCCAGACGGAGAAGCACTTGTTAGAGAGTTAGCAAGGATCTCAGGCCCCAAACCTTATAAACTCTGAAGTGCCAGAGGGTAAGGCTAGTTTCTGTGGACTTCAAAGAGGCCTGTGATTTGTCAGTTAACGAGGGAAGCTCTGGAAAGGCTATGCAAATGGAAACCTGCACACCCACACATTACCTGGCTATGAAAACCTGGCGCCTTCAGAAAAAGGGCTCACAGTGTACTTGAGGAATGGCCTAAAACACAGTTCCTGTATAATTGGAAGCAGGACTCTCCCCTTCCCCCACCCCCAGACTCTGTCAAGTCATCTCATCTTTCCATATCTTATTTTTCCTACAAAACCAAGATAATAACATTTGTCAGAGAGCCTATGGAATTATAGTGACAATTAAAAAGGCCCTTGGGCTGTGTACTAATTGCCAATTAGCTGGGAAGAGACTCCCAGTGGCAGCAGATGCCCTTCACGGTCCTACCTTGTGCACGCATCTCCAAGGCTCACCTCTCGTTTCTCTTTTGGACAGCTTGGTTTCTCTTCTCGAAGCCTTTCTGCACTAGTGTCTACAACAGGCGGGTACAGTCCATCTGCTGGACCATATGGCTGGTCACGGCTCAAGTAAGTACGTGTCTGAAGGGGGCAGCTGACTGTACAGGCAAAAGTGTGCCAGATGTCCAAGAGATTTAGGAGGGACATGGTTTCCATGACAGGCAAAGCTGATCTCGTCAGCCCTAGATGTCTCAGATGGAAATCCCACTGTGCAGGGCTGGAGAGATGGCTCAGTGGTTAAGAGCACTGGCTGTGCCTTCTGAGGACCTGAGTTCAATTCCCAGCATCCATATCTGGTGGCTCAAAACTGCCTGTAGAGCCAGCTCCAGCAGACTGACACCTCTGACCTCTGTGGGCACTGGCATTCATCACACACACACACACACACACACACACACACACACACACACACACCTGCACACATAATTAAAATGACAAAAACAAATCTTCAAAAACAGAGAAAACCCCACTGTGCTCTGATACTTGAAATTGGGATTTCTGACATTGGGATTAGATTGATGTTAGATGTGGTCAGTGGGGTAACACTCACATAAAGTTGGTCATGGATGTTGGCTCCATGTTTCAGCAAGGTCTCCACCACTGGCATGTGCCCGTACTGACTGGCAGCCAACAGGGCAGTGCCCCCATCCTACGGAAGGAAAAGACACTACATTGCATTGCATGTGGTGCAACTTGCATTTTACCAAGCATACTCTTCACATAGAGTTGGAAGAGAATATTCCCAGAGATAATGAACACATCTTCCTTCTGTTATCTCTTTTTACCTTGTCTTTATTTTTTAAAGACTTATTTTATTTTTATTTGTATGTATGTGTATACCAGTGTGTCTGAGTGTATGGCATGTGTATGTGGGGTGCCTGGAGTGTCCACAGTGGTCAGAAGAGATGTTGGGTCCCTGGAACTGGAGTTAAAGAAGACGGTGAGCTACCCAGCATGGGTGCTGGACACTGAACTCTGGTCCTCTGGAAGAGCACCAAGTGCTCTTAACCATGGAGTCGTCTCTCCAGCCGCGCACCTTTTCATTTGTTTCCTTCCTTCCTTCCTTCCTTCCTTCCTTCCTTCCTTCCTTCCTTC